CAGTCTCCTGGTGATTGGCCCAGGGTCATCCAGCTGGCTTTCATGCCTAAGGCGGGACTAGAACTGAGCCAATATCCTGGTGATTGGACCAACATTACCCAGCCGGCGAAGGTGGGACTAGAAGTCTCCATCTCCCTCTTTCTAGCAATGGCTCCTTCACCACCGGACGAAACTAGCTCCAAAATCCAAAATCTTGTTCTTCCTTGATCTTACCCAAGTCAGTGTGACTTCACGGCATCTTAAAGAGGACATTTGGGGGTGGGGGAGTCATTAAACTCAGTTCATCTGGCACAATGAATGTACAGTCTTATCCCCGTGTTTGTCCGCAGGCTATTTATGAGCGGCTCTTTTGTTGGATTGTGACCCGTATCAATGCCGTCATCGCAGTCAAGAACTACGACCCGCGAATCCATGGCAAAAATACAGTCATCGGTGTCTTGGACATTTACGGCTTCGAGATCTTTGACAACAACAGGTAGAAGACACCAGGAGAATTTATTTGGATTGTACAAGCAGTCCTCACTTAACGACTAAAAACCAGGCTTGGAAGTTTGGTTATAAGTTGTTGCAGTTGTTGAATGGGCCATCGCTGGCCGGCCTCAATTTAATGTTGTTCGCTTCTTACTCTCTCCTGTGCTTAAATAGCCACCTTCTGATGCAATGCATCAAGATAGGCAAGGCTGTCCCTTTACGAGTTATTGAGTTGACCATCTCTGCTCCTGCCTTTTTTCTGCCCTACGTATTCTCGTGATCAGGTACAGAAGGCAGTTCCTCTTCCTCATCATTAGTTGGCTGCATGCTTCCTCCATTGAAATCTCTATGTCATGCCCCCATTGGAGCCTGAATCTGCGGGGGAAGACGAGCTGGAGCCAACGGAGATTGAGGCAGCGGCTTCACTGGTTTCAGAGGAATGTGGAGAGGAGCAGGCCAAGTCAGCTCAGGGCCCTTCGGGATTGGGACGGCTTGTTAACAGGGAGGAACGGGGGCAGGATAACCAAGAGAGGGCAAGCAGTGGACATGAGGAGCAATGTTGCGCAGGCAATGAGCAAGGACTGCCCCTTCCTGATCCTCAAGCACGGAGAGTGGAGAGAAGGCAGGAACAGCGCAGGCCGACCCAACAACTCGGGAGGAATGCGCCCAGTCCACCTTCCCAAGGCACACCTGGGGACTGAGATTTAAGGAGACATTGCGGGAATCGGCATTTGTCAGGAACAAATGCTGAATTGGTAGAGTTTGTTGTGCCGGTAAAGACATTTGGAGTTTGCAGGACTACTTGCCTTCTTCTGGACTTTGTGGACTCAATGTTTGTTCCCTGTTTCATGGACTCATTTTCCTGTTCCTTTGTTTTGCTAGACTGGGTGCAGCCAGAGGCTGCTGTGTGTGTGTGTGTGTGTGTGTGTGTGTGTAATGGCTGTTAAGTGGTCAGTCATTAAGCAAAGAATTCCTGTAGATCGGGGTGTCAAACTCAAAGCCGGTGAGCCATATCTGGCCTGCAGGTTGCTTACATCCGGCCTACGGGAGCACCCTGGAAACTGCAGACTGGTCCGTGGTGCCTCTGCCAGCAACAATGGAGCTCGGGAATGCCGCATACAGCCCTCCCATTTTCAGCCCTCCATTTTCAACCATGACAGGAGGCTGTCGTGGCCAAAAATGGAGCCCAGGTGGGCCACATGTGGCCTCCCCAAGTTCTGTTTTCACTGGCTGAGGGCTCCAGGAGGCCGAAAATGGAGCCTCGACAAATGACGTCGACTTGACCATGTCCATCCCAGCCACGCCCCTTCCCCCCGGCCTCCCTGAGGTCAAACACAACCCTGATGCAGCCCTCAATGAAATCAAGCTTGACAACCCTGCTGTAGATGGATGGGTGCTGGGGGGGGGGATGGGTTGTTGGACAAAGATCCTGACCTTCTAAGTGTCTTCTTCTAGCTTCGAGCAGTTTTGTATCAACTATTGTAATGAGAAGCTGCAGCAGCTGTTCATCGAGTTGATCCTCCAGCAGGAACAGCAGGAATACCAGCGTGAGGGGATTGAATGGCAACACGTGAGTCCCCTAAACATTGACGCAGCCCTCCGAACATCCTCCAAATTGGTTTTCAGTCTGAAATTAATTTTTTCCCATAAAATCAGAGGAGAGCTCAACGACAACTGTTGAAACTGAAGCATTACAGGTAGTCCAGGGGTCGGCAACCCATGGCTCTGGAGCCACATGTGGCTCTTTCATCCCTCTGCTGCGGCTCTCGGTCAATAGTCGATAAAAGGAAAAAGGACACCAGGCAAGGAGGGGACTCTGGTGGAGGGGGGGAACTCGACTTTCAGTTGACTCCAGAATTGAATGGGGGGTTTCCAGTTGGGACCTTTGTGGCTCTTTGAGTGTTTAAGATTGCTGACCCCTCAATTAGTCCTCGACTTTTGATCACAAAGTGGGATCACAAAGTGGGACCGGAATTTCCATCATAAATTCAGTTATTAAGTGAATCGTGCTGGATTTTACGATTTTTTTGCCATGGCTGTTAAGTGAATCATGCAATCCTTAAGCAAATCCCATTTGGTAGGAAGATCACAAAGGACAATCACTTGAATGAAGGACTTGGCAACCATCATAAATACGTGCCAGTTGCCCAAATTTTGATCACAGAACCATGAGGACACTACAACAGTCATGAGTCTGAGGAATGATCCTAAGTTCCTTTTTATCAGCATTGTTGTAAAATGAATGGTTGTAAGCCGAGGACTAGTCATATCCCTTTTCATTAAACAAATGGTTGTAAGTCAAGGACTAGTCATAAGCCCCCTTTTTCAGCACCGTCATAACTTTGAGTGGTCATTAAATGAAAAGTTGTAAATCAAGGAGTACCTGTAACTGTAGTTCTCAACCTGTACAACTTTTAAGATTTGTGGACCTCAGCTCCCAGAATTCTCCTGCAGCATGGCTGGCAGGGGAATTCTGGGAGTTGTAGTCCACACACCTTAAAGCATCCAAGTTTGGTGGGGGGGAATCTACTTTAACCCTTCCCTTGCCAAGCATCAACTCTGCCTTCTCTCAACAGATTGAATATTTTGACAATCAAATCATCGTCGATTTAGTGGAAGAACCGCACAAGGGTGTCATCGCCATCCTGGATGAAGCTTGCTTGACTGTGGGCAAAGTAACTGATGCCCTTTTCTTGGAGAGTATGGATGCCAGGCTTGGCAAACACCCACATTATACCAGCAGGAAGGTAAGAGGATCGCAGGAGTAATACCCCGTAAGGAAGATAATTTGAGGATCCTTTACTGCCCCCATATGGGATATGGGGAAACACAATTTGGCAACCACGTAGGGACACTTTTCGATTTTTGTATGTTTTTTTCTGAATAATCTGGGTGACAGTGCAGCAGGTAGGGAATTCTAAAAGTTAAAGGAAGCAACAGTGCAATTTGAACCCAGGGCAGCTATAGGGAGGAAAGGGGAGGCGGGCAATTGGCGACAGGAGGTCCATGACTTATGACCGTAGCATGAATCAGAATCTCCGTTGCTAAGCAAGGAAGTTGTTCAGTGAGTCGTCCCTGGCTTTGGAGCTTTTGGGATGAATTGCTACAGTTGTTAAACGAATCACGTTGACATTAAGTGAAACCAGCTTCCTCCATTGACTTTGCCTGATGGAAGCCGGTTGGGAAGAATTTCAAATGGTGATCATGTGATCCCGGGATGCTGCAACCATCCTAAATGCATACCGGTGCTGAAATTTGACAATGTGTTTGTGGGGAATGCTGCAATGGTTGTAAATGTGAGGACTAGTCATAAGTCCTGTTTTTCAGTTTCATTGTAACTTTTGAAAAGTCACTAAACCAATGGTCATAAATTGATCATCTTCTATATATATAAAAGCAAAATACCACTCATGCATCATCACAAAATTTCCAGAACCATAAAGCCTACAAACTTGAAATTTGGCACACATGTTCCTCTTGGCTTCTAGGTGCTCACTAAGAAAGTATTTTTCGAAATGACCATCACAGCATTAGTATTTTGTATATTATTAACATGCTCTGATGCTAAGGAGTTCTGCTCCCCCTCCCCACCTGAAAAGAAACCTACTCCAAATGCAAAACACAAGCAGAAGAGTTTCACTTTCAGTTTTAGTTTCAAAAGCAGCAACCAACTTTAGTCTAGAACAGTTGAGCTAAGCCACACCCAGGCTCCTAGCTGTCTCCTTCTTGCTCACACAGCAATTACTGTTTCAGTTTCCAAACAGCTCTCAGCTCTCTCACACACTGACAGGACATTAGCTAGATGAATACCGATGGATGCTGGTAGGCAGAGGCAGAATTTTTCCCCTTATTTTCCTCCCCCAAAACTAAGTCCGACCACATAGTTTCGTAGCGAAGCATAGGAACCAAGCTAGTACTATTATAAAGCTTTCAGAAAGCTGTCCTTTAAAATTGGAAACAGAATCAGAATTGAGCTGAAAGGGACCTTAGAGGTCTTCTAGTCCAGTCTCCTGCTCAAGCAGGAGATTCTATACCATTTCAGACGTGACTGTTTTTTAGATTTATTTATATGTTTAAGGGGACGTGGTGGCCTTGTGGCTAATAAGCTGAGCTTGTCGATCAGAAAGGTCGGCAGTTCAGTGGTTCAAATCCCTAGGACCGTGTAACAGAGTGAGCTCCCGTTACTTGTCCCAGCTTCTCCCAACCTAGTAGTTCGAAAGCCCGTAAAAAAACAAGATAGGGACCACTTTGGTGAGAAAGTAACAGTGCTCCGTGCGCCTTCGGCATTTCATCATACTGGCTACATGACCACAGAGACATCTTCAGTCAGCACTGGCTCCTCGGCTGTGTAATGGAGAGGAGCACCACCCTTGAGAGCCGGAAATGGCTAGCACGTATGTGCGAGGGGAACCTTTACCTTTAAAAATGTTTTTTTTAAATCATTTTTTTTCCTTTATTTTACAAACAGTGCCACTGAATGCACCATTTTTAACATCTATAGGAAAAATATAGAAATTGAGTTGCTTTAGTAAAATAAATGTATATATACTCTTTGGTTTTCTATATTTTGAATCTAAATATGTGGTTTCGTGAAAGTTTTTTTTATACATTTATTTTGGTTTTGAAGTTTGGAGAAGAGACCGGAGACCCGCTTGTCTGAAACGGCCTAGGGTCTCCCCTTCGAGCAGGGGGTTGGACTAGATGACCTCCAAGGCCCCTCCCAGCTCAATTCTGGATCGATCGAGTGACTTTGTAAAAGCCAAGTTAGAAATATATAATGCCATTAACAGCCAGTCCTCAACTTACAAGCTCAATTGGGCCTGGGATTTTGGTCATGGGTTTGGGGGCCATTGATGAAACGGATCATCACGTGAGCTGACTCGGTGTTATGACCATTTTTATGATGGTTGTAAATTGAGTTGCCCCAATCACGAAGAGGTAAACATGGTTGGCAAGTGAATCATGTGGCTGATTATGGAATCCAATCTACACAATTCCCCCTTTTTTGTGCTATTTTTGGCTTTTCCCAGGGATGGAATTCAAATTTTTTAACAACCGGTTCTGTGGGTGTGGCTACGTAGGCATGGCTAGGTGGGTGTGGCCATGTGACTGGTTGGGTGTGGCTTCTTCTTTTTTTGTAGTGTCCCCTCCCCGCACTCCATTTTTTGGCCTCCTGGGCCTCAGGGAAGCCTCCTGGGCAAAGCTATAAGACAGCGAGGGGGATCCCGAAACAGCTGAATGTCGAAACAGCTGATCGTTGGGAGGATAAATAAATAAATACCTTATGAAGTGACTGGGCAGGGGAGAACGCAGTCAGCGATGTCGCGCATGCGCAATAAGGACTGGCTGGGAGGAGAGGGGTGGACTGAGAGGGGTGGGCGGGGCCAGTCAGAGGCATGATATGCTGGTTCTCCGAACTGTGCAGAATCATAACAACCGGTTCTACAGAACCGGTCTGAACTGGTAGAATCCCACCCCTGGCTTTGCCACGTAAGAACAAGCAAGGTTGTACGAGCAAGAGAAAAGATACATCCACCACCCAACCTCACCTTGACTGATTTTTGGCTTGTGTGTTCTCACAGCTCAATTCCACTGACAAGTCCATGGAGTATGGGCGTGATTTCCGGATCAAGCATTATGCCGGAGATGTTACGCAAGTGACTTTTCTTAATCCTTTCCCTTACTTTCCCTTTCCGGTGGTAAAAGAAGCGTGGTGGTTGTTGGGGGAATTCTGGGAGTTGAAGCCCTGGCATGCTTGCTGGGGGATTCTGGGAATTAATCTCCACCCATTCTGGCTGGGGGAATCTGGGAGTTGAATTCATGTTGAGATTATGTCTGATGAATATAATTCCGCATTGGCAACAGGAAGAGCATCCGGCCAGTAAACATTCAGCTCCATTCAGTTGCCTAGACTCCACCCTGCAAGGGATTATGGAGTCATTAAAAGACAACGATGATGTTAGCTGGGGAATTCTGGGAGTTGGAGTCTAGGAATTCTGCCTATTGAATGCTGGGAATTAATCTCCACCCATGTTGGCTGGAGAATTCTGGGGACGTCCAGACATACTGGTTGGAGAATTCTGGAGGTTGAAGTACAGGCCGGGTGGCTGGGAAATTCGGGGAGTTGAAATCCACCCATTCAAAGCAAGTGGCCTGGGAGATTCTGGGAATTGAAGTCCATACATGCTGACTGGGGGATTCTGGGAATTCACATCTACCTATGTTGGCTGGAGAATTCTGGGAGTTGAAGTCCACCCATCTTAAAGCAACCGATTTTGACAAACATAGATTTGCACTGATTTGCTCAAGAATAGAATAGAGTAGAGTAGAATAGAATAGAATAAGGAATAGGAATAAGATGGAATAGAATATAGAATGGAATCGGAATAGAATAGAATAGAATAGAATAGAATAGAATAGAATAGAATAGAATAGAATATAGAATAGAATATAGAATAGAATATAGAATAGAATATAGAATAGAATAAATTGGAATAGAATAGAATAGAATAGAATATAGAATAGAATATAGAATAGAATATAGAATAGAATCGGAATAGAATAGAATAGAATATAGAATAGAATATAGAATAGAATATAGAATAGAATTGGAATAGAATAAAATATAGAATAGAATATAGAATAGAATATAGAATATAAAATAGAATCGGAATAGAATAGAATATAGAACAGAATATAGAACAGAATATAGAATAGAATTTAGAATAGAATCGGAATAGAATCAGAATAGAACACAACAGAACAGAACAGAATAGGAATAGAATAGGGAATAAGAATAGGAACAGAACCTGGAAGGGATCTTGGAGGACACCTAGTCCAACACCCTGAGCATCGTGCTACACAGGAAGGCAGGTCCTGTCCACCCTCGGATCCACCCCGAATCTGAATCTGGGTTTCAGGTATTCTGTGGAAGGATTTCTCGATAAGAACAAGGATACGCTGTTCCAGGATTTCAAGCGACTGCTGTACAACAGGTAGGTCGGGCTGAGGCAGTGGAACAAGCCTGGATTTCAGGAAAACTCACCTCAAGTGGACAGTTTGGCCATTGACCTCGTCGCACAGGTAGTCCTCGACTTACGACCAAAATTGATCTCTCTCCCCCCCCCCACCCCCGGTTTGGGTTGTTAAGTTTTTACGAACTTCCTTGCTACCGTTGTTCAGTGACTCCCTGCAGTTCACCTCTAGAAGACCTCTAAGGCGTCCCCCCCTCCATTATTCTATCATTCTCTAAGTATCTACTGCTTGTGCGGGGGGGGGGGTTGGACTAGATGACCTCTGAGATCCCTTCCATTTCTGTTATTCCGTGATTCTGTAAGGGTCTCCTGCTCAAGCAGGTGGTTGGACTAGATGACCTCCAAGGTCCCTTTCAACTCCGTCCTTCTCTTATTCTGGCTTCTCACAAGGAGCATTAAATGCCCCAAAAGGCTGCCATGGCAGACAATTGTGAAGAGACAATTTTGCTCCATGTTGCAATAGTTCTTGCCAGAATTCTTAAGTGAATCGCAGCAGTTGCTCAGCTAGTCAACCAGTCATTAAGTGAATCCGGTTTCACCCCCCTCCATTGACTTGGCTCATCAGAAGGTCCCAAGAAAAGGATCACGTGATTCAGTTAGTAAGACAGTTGTTAAGCGAATCTTGGCTAACAAGTCTGTCCGGCAGGGAGACGAATAGTTTTCTGCAGGGGGTGAGGTGCTACCAGTTCGGACCGGTTCTATAGAACCGGTGGTTACAATTCTGCCCAGTTTGGAGAACCGGCAAATCATGTCCCTGGCTGGCCCCAACCCTCCCCCCCCCCCCCCCCCCCCCCCCCCCAGTCAGTACTTATGGTATTTCTCCCCCCCCCCTCCCGACGATCAGGTGTGCCAGCTGTCTTCCTGCTTCGCCCAGGAGGCTTCCCTGAGGCCCAGGAGGGGGTATGCTGCGAAAAAACGAAAAGAAGAAGCCACGCCCAGCCAGTCATATGGCCATCCCCACCTAGCCACACCCACCTGGCCACACCCACAGAACCAGTCGTAAAAATATTTGCATCCCACCCCTGGTTGTCTGCCACATCTAGTAGGGCTTCGCTAGCATCCCAATGACCGGCCCATAGATTTCCACTGCTCTCCTCTCCTCTCCTTTGCCTTATTGGGCATCTATGCATCAGGTACTGGACCCAGCTGTTCCTCCTCTTTTTCATCAGCCCCCTCCAGACCTCTTCATCTGATGGACGGCTCAGGCTCCACCTCCACCCCCCCCCCATCCTCTCTGCCAGCTCCATTCCCTCTCTCCCTCGGAGCTCTCAGGTGGCCCTGACTCCCATGCCTCCTCCTCATCCAATTCAGCAGCCAGAGGGGCTGGTGGCCGACAGGCCGCAACCCTGGCTTCCCTCATTGATGACCACATGATTCAGTAAGTAAGATGGTTCTTAAGCGAATCCAGCTTCCCCCGTTGATTCGGCTCATCAGAAGCTCGCGGAAGGCGACCACGGAACCCTGGGACATTGCAACTGTCACAAACACGAGTCCGTAGCCGAGCATGTGAATCTTGATTATGTGACCATGGGGGTCATAAGTGTGAAAACCGGTCCTACAACGTCTTTTTCAGGGCCGTTGTAACTTCAAATGGTCGCTAAGCAAATGGTCGTAAGTGGAGGCCTACCCGTGTTGCTGTATTATTATTATTAATTATTATTATTGTTGTTGTTTGTTTTGTTATTATCATCGTTATCATTATCATTACTATCATTACTATTACTATCATCATCATTGTTTTGTTGTTACTGTTATTATTACTGTTATTATTACTGTTATTATTGTTGTTGTTGTTATTTAATGGCCTTCCCTGGTCTTGGTAGCAAGTCAGTTCAGGAAATTGCTCGGCGTGGCGGGCAGGCCTCCAAAAGCATCACACTACAACTCCCATCATGCTAAGCCAGCCTCTGGACTCTGACAGGGAGAGGACCTGAACTTCACTAGAGGGGTGATTTCAAAAGTTGGAGCGTTGGTGCTTCTTCACGCCTCACGTCAAGAGGTGGATCTCAGTCCACAAAAATTCCACCTTCTCAGCGACAGTCATCTCCTTCTGGCCGCCATCTTGACTTCTTTGACCCCCCCTTTTGGGCTTCTTTCCCCAGCACAGACCCCCTCCTCCAGGAGATGTGGCCGGAGGGCAAGCAGAGCATCACGGAGGTGACAAAGCGGCCCCTGACTGCCGCCACCCTTTTCAAGAACTCCATCGTGGCCTTGGTGGACAACCTAGCATCCAAGGTATCTCAGATCTTCCTTTCTCTGGTAGTGTTTCCAGAGGTGGTATTCAGCCAGTTTGGACTGGTTCAGGTGAACTGGTTGTTAAACTTTTGGAGTAGCTCGGAGAACTGGCAAATACCACCTCTGGTTGCCCCGCCCACCTGCCCCCACTGTTACCTCTCCTGTATGCCCTTGTTTTTTTTTTACCTCAGCTGATTCACGTGGCAGAGGAGATTGCCACGCCTCAGCTGAGCTAAAAAAAACAGCTCAGCTTACCAGCATTGACAGAGGTCGACAGAAGTGCGCCTGCATAGAACTGCACATAGAATCGGTCGGAAACAATTTGGAAACCCACCATGGCTGCTTGGAGATGGGTGGACTTCAATGCCCAGAATTCTCCAGTCTTTGGAACAGGGCTCGAGAAAGAGAGACAGGATCAAAGAGGCCACAGGAGGACCTCAGTAGATGGTAGAGTTGAAATCATTAGACAGTAGATTTGAAGTCCACCCATCTTCAGTTAGCCAAGTTTGAGGAGCGCCGTTCTACAGTGTTGGTGGACCCAACCTTGTTTCCTGTTCTCCATGAGGTCAACCAACTCTCTTGATCATGGACACCTCGGTCCATTCCTCTATTCTGCAAAGAACATGCCATCTCTGTGTCAGGATTCCAGCAATCACCCTAATTAAACCATGATTCTCGAGCCAAACTTCAAAAAACTTCAAAGGATTTATTAGAGGCGACATACTGGCACTGCCCTGGATGAAGCCAACTCTGGCATATGTAATTTACAGTCACCTGTGACCCTGTTTCCCCCCTCCCCCCTGGGGGTCTTATAAACCAGATTCTCCAATTGGGCTGGGTGTCATCAATCACATTCTCCAAATACGGGCTGTGTGTCATGATTCAAGTTCTCCAATTAAATATATTTGCGGGCAAAAGCTCTGGTAGTTTAGTTACAGTATTTTAAAGAGAAGAGTTGGAATGTACTTTCGATTTCAAACCACTGAACTGCTCTTCCAGATTTCCTTCCTCTCCCCACTCCCTTTTTTTTCTTTATGGCAACTACTAAAACAGGCATAGGAATGTTTTATGAGTTGACACCTCTGAATTTTGAAGTTTTTTCATGCTGCGAACACAGTTCTGAAAGGTAAACAGATCACTGGGACAGTTCAACAAAGTCACCTTCCCAAGTATCTAAGATCATGGGTGGGATTCAAAAATCCCAGCAACTAGTTCTCTGGTTGATGGGTGGGCATGGTCACGGTCGACATGGCCTACTGGGACTTCCATTTCAGCCATTTTTCACCTTCCCCAGGGTCTGGAGGCTTCCCTTGGACCTCTGGGAGAATGAAAATGGCCTCCCCCCCAGGCTCCAGAAGCCAGAAACAAGCCTGTTTCTGGACTTTTGGAAGTTCAGGTTTGGCCCATTTGTTGCCCTCCCAGAGCCTCCGCACAGACTTACCTGCATCCAAAATGGTCCACATAGAGACTGCTGGGAAGGGCGGGGTAGGGAGTGGGGCTAGCCGGTCGGTTCAACTACCAGTTTGGCGAACGAGATATAAATTTAAGATCCTGTTTGCCCAAATGGGGCCGAACCGGCTGAATCCCACCCTTGTCTGAGATCCTCCTTCTATGTCCTCCAAACTTAGCAGTAGACACCTTCCCAAGTATCTCAGGTATGTTCTTCAACCATGGTAGCTTTAAGATGGTGGACTTCAACTCCCAGAATTCCCCAGTCCTTTGAACGGGGCTCTGAAAAGAGAGACTGGGGCAAAGAGGCCACCTCAGTAGAAACCTCCTCAAGTATCATAGATCCTCCTTCTATGTCCCTCAAACTTAGCAACCTGAAGACAGGTGGGCTTCAACTCCCAGAATTCTCCAGTCCTGTGAATACAGATTCAGAAAAAGGAGACTGGGGCAAACAGGACACTGAGGGATGTCAGTAGGGACCTTCCCAAGTATCTGAGATCCTCCTTCTCAATAGCGGGTTCCTACCTTGTTTGCTACCCGTTTGGTGGGTGATCGTGTGTGCATGCATGCCCCTAACACGCCAATCCGCTGACAGAATGAAGAAAGGAAAAGCTAGATGTGACCTCCCACCCTCCCATGCGCTTGTCGCTTCTTTTATCCTCTCCACTGATCATTGGAGAACTGGTTCAGCCAAATCGGTAGTGATTTTCACTACCGGTTCTGCTGAACTGGCCAGAACTGGTAGCATACCACCACTGCTCCTTCTATATCCCTCAAACTTAGCAACTTGAAGACAGGTGGACTTCCATCCTATGAACGGAGCGTGAGAACAAGAACGAGACAGAGACAAGCCAGCATTCGGAGTTCCCTTCCGGTTGGGGAAGGGAGGGGCTGTGGTGGGGGAAGGAGTGGGACCATGGCTCATTGCTTACTAGGTCTATTTTCAGCTTCGTTGGCAACTAAAATGAGAAGCCTGCTTAGGTGGCAGCTTGTGCATGACTGGTGTGCTATAAATAAGCCACACTAAGATGGAGAATACGGTTAGTTTTAAAAGGTTTATTATGCAACGCCTCCATAAATAGCATGCCAGAGTTGCAGCATTTCAGGCTAGAAAATCTTGGAAAAGTCAGTATATTGGCGACAGCCAGCAGCCAAGATCCTCTCTAATAAATGTGACACAAAACACCTTCCTTTTGGCTGTTGGCAAGTTTTTACAGGTAGTCCTCAATGTATAACTGCAATCGAGCCCCAAATGTCTACGGCTCAATGAGGCAGTCATTAAATCAGTTTTGCCCCATTTTACAATCTTGCCTGCCCACTGTTGTTAAGCAAATCGCTGGGATTGTGAAGTCTGGACCGGGGTTGTGTGGTTCAGGGAAGTCCTTGACTTACAACACTTTGTTTAGTGACCGTTCAAAGTTACAACAGCACTGAAAAAGGGACTTATGACCATTTTTCACACTTACCGACCATTTCAGTGCTCCTGTGGTCATAAGATCAGAATTCAGATGCTTGGAAGCAACTCATTTTTGGGATCATGTGAAATCCCCTTTTATGACCTTCAGATAAGTAAAGTCGATGGGGAAGCCAGATTTGCTTAACAACCATGCGACCAATAATGACAACGATTCACTTAACAATGGTGGCAAGGAAGGTCATAAAATGGGGCAGAGCTCATTTAGCAACTGTCTCTCTTCATGATGGAAATTTGAGGTGGGCTTGCGGTCATCAGTCGAGGACTATCTGCAGGACTTAGCCAGAACTTAGCCACCCCAATTTCAAATTTTTCCATTGGTGCTCGTTTCACCCGAGGAAACCTGATGGTCTTTCCAACCAGAAATGCAATTTTAGACAACGGGGCAAACTTAAAGACGTGAGATGGTCCTTGCGTAAACTCCATGCATCCTCTTTTTTTTTCAACAGGAGCCTTTCTACGTTCGTTGCATCAAGCCCAATGACCAGAAGTCCCCGTTTCTGTTCGACGAGGAACGCTGCCGTCACCAAGTCTCATATTTGGGTCTGCTGGAGAATGTCCGGGTCCGAAGGGCTGGTTTTGCCTACAGGCAACCATACCACCGATTCTTACTCCGGTAAGGTTTGCAGCCAGGAGTGCAATTCAACCGGTATAACAACTGCTTTGGGGATGCTCTGCATTTTAAAAAAAAGTGGGTAGGCGCACAGGGCTTGTTGGAGCAAATTGGTTCAGAGCCAGCTGATTGATCACTGGAACAAGGGGTTCGCCAGAACAGTGAGAATCCCACCACGGTTTGCAGCCGAGTTTTTGCCAAAGTTCCTGAAGAAGAAGAGACCCTGGTGTTGTCTTGGGCAGACTTTGGTGGAATTTGGGATCTTCGGCCATTTGCTGAGCAGGGAGGAGGAAGGTGCTGGACACAGCCAGGAAAGCATGGTAGACATCGTAAGCGGCGTGTAAACATTTTATTAGCTGTTTTGGGAAACGTTGGAGAAAAGCCAAAGAACACAGTGTAAATGCCATTCCTTTGTGACACCAGTGAGATTATCTAGTTGGTTCATGAGATGTCTGAACGAAAATAAGCAAGCTCACAGAGCACCAAGGACCCCTGTGATGACCCGTAGTCTCTCAAAATAACCCAAAACATACATTAAAGTCCGGTAAGGCCTTCAACTTAACTTCACTGTTTTATTAGGCACAGTTTAAAGTCGCAAAAGTAAATAAAATGAGGCAAAAAGAAAACCACAACAAACCGCATTGACGAGAGTTCCGAAGCCAGCCAAGATAACGAATCATAAACTCCAGGGAAATAACCGAGGAGAGTCCATGGGAAGAACGCCAGCAAAGATAAACCTCTTTCAAAGAAAACACTAAACTTTGACTCCAGCAATTCTGACTACGCAGTTACAAACTTATATACCTAGCTCCCAGCTGCAAGCCACGAGGAGGATCATGGTAATCTCCTCCCGAGTAGACCATGTTTTTCCCTGATCCTCTTCTCCCTGCGTGCCCTAGGATGGAGAAGGGATGGGCCTGGGTCCTCCTCTGACTGCTCAGCCGGCCTCTGCCCTTCCCCAGCCTCCTCCACCACCTCTGGAGCCACACTCCCACTCCCTGTCGGCTGTTCCTCCTCTCCCTCAGAGTCAGACTCCACCAGGGGCATGACAACCCCATAGCTCTCTTCCTCCCCCCTCCTCCTCCTTCTGCTGCTGCTGCTGCCTGCAAACCCCACTGCCTTCTAGCACTGATAATGTTACCTAGTTTGGTCACGAAACATCTGCAAGAAAACCAACCAGAGAGCACCAAATCCCATAGTCCTTCTTTTCTTCTTTCCTTCTCCTTCTTCCTCCTCTTCCCCCTCCTCCTCTCCACAAACGTCCCTAGCACTGATGATGTTACTTAGTTGGGTCATGAAACGTCTGCGAGAAAAATCACCGACCTTAGAGACCTCCAAGGACCCCACACAAAAAAGGCGATGCATTCACCCAAATGGGGTGAATCCTGGTTCCGAGCAGCACAGGAACAGAACTGAGCTATCTCCTCGATCTGCTAGCTTTCTCCTTGCGGGGTCTTGTCTGCGGGGTTTTCATTTCCCAATTGCAAGAAACATCAAACCAAGAAAGCGTTTGTCTCAGGGGTGCGATTCAACCAGTGTAACAACCAGTTTGAGGAGTGCATGCTTTGCGCCCACGCAGAGCATTTGTTACTCACCTTCTCCAGCAATCTCTCTGTGTTAAACAGCTTAATGTTTAAATGGCAACCTGCTGTGTTGCGCGAATCAGTTGAGCTTGAAAAACAGGATATAAAACACAGCCTAGAGCCCAGGTGAGCCCATCAGATGATCATTGGGACCAACCAAACCGGTTCACTCCCAGCTGATCCTCAAAGCTACCAGTTCGGTCGAACCGGGCCAAACCAGTAGAATCCTACCCCCCGGTTTGTCTCTAGGACAAACAACCTGAGTTTCATGGTTTGGGATGGGAACAGCATTGTCGATGTTGAGCTGCAGAACCTACTATGGTTTTCCGAAGACCATCTTACGGTCCGGTCAAAGCAGGTCAATTCTCCTAATTTCTTCCTCACCCAGGTATAAGATGACGTGCGAATACACCTGGCCCAACCACCTCATGGCCTCGGATGGTGCAGCCACCCAAGCCTTGATAGAGCAACATGGCTTCCAAGATGACGTAGCTTACGGCCAAACCAAGATCTTCATCCGAACGCCGCGGACTTTGTTCGCCCTGGAACAGGAACGCGCCAACCTGATCCCCATTATTGTGCTGTTGTTGCAGAAGGTAACATGAGGTTGTGGGTAAGGGTTGTGGCAGGGATGCAATTCAACCGGTATAACAACTGGTCCAGTGAGCATGTGCTTGGCGCGCGCACCAAGCACACATTCACCGGCACTCACACCCCAAATGTGCATGCGCCAAATGTGCGTTCTGCGTGCGTGCTTCACCTTTTAAAAAGCTAATACTTACCTTCTCCTGCCACTGAAGAAAACAGTGGAGGTGCGGCAAACCGCTCTGCTGCGCAAATCAGCTGTGCTCTAACGAAAAGACATAATGTCAGGATTCCGGCACTTAACCCCATTTAAACCGTGAGTCTCGAGCCAAACTTCCAAAACTTCAAAAGGGTTAACATGTCTGACACTGCCTGCGTGTAGCTAACTCTGAGACGCCATAATTCCTTGTCCCCCTTGACCCTGGTTTCCCCCCCACCCCACCCCCTGGGTGTATCATAAATCATATCCTCCAATGGGACACATCCATAGCCCAGAGTCATCAGTCATGCTCTCCAGTTAGAATTGTGCACGGCAGAAACTTCGGTCGCCTAGTTACTATCTTTGAAAACATTGATGGAATGCACTTTTGATTTCCAAGCTGCTGCACTGCTCCCCCCCCCTCCCTTTCTGTTGGCAGCGTTAAAAAGACCAAAGATGTATTTTATGGGTTGACACATAAAGCACAGAAAAAGAGCAGGAGCTAACTGGTTCGGAGCCAGTTGACTGTCGGAACAATCGGCTCGCCCGAACCAGTCTGAACCGGGCGAATCCCACCCCCTGGGTTGTTGTCACCGGATGAAGCCACGCGGCTGGTTTTCTCGTCCCAATGGAGAGCGGGACCCAAAACACACGGAGCCAAAGCAAGGAACACCGCACCAAACATTAGGGGTTGGAATTTCAGGAGGTCTTCGGTTTATGGCACCTCCTTTTAGTGACCGTTCAAAGTTATGTTGGCAGTGGTAAAAAAGTGACTTGCAGGCAGTCCGCAACTGATGACAGTTCATTTAGTGACTGTTCCAAGTTACAACGACACAGAAAAAATTTCCAACAACCATTTTTCACAAATAGGACCGTTGCAGTTACACGAATTAACTTTCGGATACTCGACTGCTGACTCACATTTATGACGGTGGCTGCTTCCCAGAATCACCCAATCCTCTCTCATGACCGTTTGAAAAGGGAAGTTGATGGGGTAATCCCGATTCACTGAACAACCAGGGGGGACAAATTTAAGAACCGCATTGAATCATTTAACAAATCTGGCAAGAATACTCACCACATTTCTCACTTAGCAATCTGAATTTTGGGCTCAGATTTGGTCGTAAGTTGAGGGCTACCCGTATGACAGTTTTTGCACTTACAACCCCAGGGTCACATGATCAAAATTCGGACACTTGGCAACTGACTCATAATTATGATGGGTGCAGTACCCTTTTGTGACCTTCTGACAAGTAGTCAGCCCGATTCACTTAACGACCGTGTGACTAATTTTCACCAGTGCAGGGATTCACTTAATGGCAGTGGCAAGAAAGGTGGTAAAACGGGAAAGAATTCACTTAACAACCATCCCACTTAGCAACATAAATATAGGGCTTGGTTGCGGTCGTAGGCTGAGGACTACCTGTACAAGTAGGAGGCAGCGCTCTAAAGGTAGTCCTCGACTTACCACCACAATGGAGCCCCAAATGTCTCTTCTGTGGTAGAATTTCAATTCCCAGATTTCCTAGCTGAAATACAAGTAATCCTCAGTTTACGACCAGAATGGACACTTGGCAACTGACTCGTATTTGCAACAGATGCAGCATCCCGGGGGGGGGAGTCAGACGAACCCCTATTGCGATGTTCTGACAATCAAAGTCACGGGGGGGGGAGTCCGATTCATTTAACGACCGTGTTCCTAACTTCACACAACTGAGGCGATTCGTTTAACATGATTGCCAGAAAGGGACAGAATTCACTTAGTGACCATTCTTGTGTAGGAAAAGAAATGTGGGGCTCGATTGAGGTCACAAGTCGAGGACTCCCTGTCTCTGGGAGGGGGATTATGGGAGCCGGAACCCTGCCATTTTGACACACACACCCCCGCCCCCAAATGATACCCTTCTGACTCGAGGTTCCGACGTGCCTTTCTATACCCAGGTCTGGAGGGGAGCCCTCGCCCGCAAACGTTACCGGTACCTGCGAGCCATCTACACTGTCATGGCCTACTACAGGCGTCACAAAGTGAAAGGGTACTTGTTGGACCTCATACAACGCTTCCAAGGGGTGCGCAACATGGCCGATTACGGCAAAAGCGTGGCGTGGCCGGAGCCACCGGCAGTGCTGACCCAGTTCCAGGAGAGTTCACAGCTCATTTTTGCCAGGTAATCCCATGGGTGGACTTCAACTCTGCCTGGGGGATTCTGGGAGTTGAAGTCCTCCATTCTGAAAGCATATCAGTTCCTGCCCATCTCCGCTCTGTTCCCGTTGCCCATTTCAACCGTCACTAAATGAACCCTTGTCAGTGGCTTGTCGTTGTTGTGTTGCTCAAGGTGGCGAGCCAGGCAGCTGGTGACCAACCTCTCTCCATCCGAGATGAGCCAAATCAAAGCCAAGGTGGCTGCCTTCGAGGTCTTGCAAGGCCGGCGGAAAAATTGGGGTTGTTGCCGGAACTGGAGACAGAACTATTTAGCAGCGGTACGTACAATGGCCTGATTCTCCCCACCCCTCCCGGTTCTTTCTTTTGAAGTTCTCGTCTATCAGAGAAGGCCTTTTGTGTGTTGACGCAGCCTGGGTTCGTACAGGGTGAGCGTGACTTATCACCATTCATTTAAGGACGGGTCAAAGTTACCACGGGACCTGCCCTGCCCCTGTCGGAGTCTGAATCCAAGGAGGAGGAAGACGAACAGCTGACAGGGAGATGGAGTGTGGCTCCTGTTGGCTGTGGAGGAAACTGGGGAAGGACAAAATCCGGCTGGGCAGAGCAGGGAAGAGGTAGAACAAGGGAGAGCAGGCGTGGGATTCTACCGGTTTGGACCGGTTCTATAGAACTGGTTGTTACGATTCTGGGAGGTTTGGAGAATAGGCAAATTGTGTCTCTGGCTGGCCCCGCCCCTCTCCGCCTACCCCTCCCCTCCCTTCCCAGTCCTTATCGCCAACTGCGTTCTCCCCCGCCCAGTCAGTCCTTAAGGCATTTCTTTTTCCCCCCCCCTCCCGACGATCAGCTGTGCCGGGATCCCCCTTGCTGTCTTCCTGCTTCGCCCAGGAGGCTTCCCTGAGGCCTAGGAGTCAAAAAGGGGTACAGAAGGGTGCAGGGGGGGGTGCTTACAGAATGACAGAGTTGCAAGGGGACTTGGAGGTCATCTAGTCCAGCCCCCCTGTTCGAGCAGGAGATCCTTACAGAATCATGGAATGACAGAGTTGAAAGGGAGCTCAAAGGTCATCTAGCCCAACCCCCTGCTCGAGCCGGAGACTTTTTTGAGAGTCTTGCAATTTTTTCTTAAAAAACTTCCAGAATGCAAGCCCACGTACGCACAATGCCAGCTCATGAAAGAGCTCCGCTTAGTGACGTCTTCAGCACATCTTCCCCCCTTCCCATTTTTCTTCTGCGGGCTGTTGGTGGGCGAGGATGATGGGAGGTGTGGGGTTTTTGGTTTTTTTTTTGCGTGTTCCCCAGATTTTCCATCTGTTGACGCTTTGAGGTGGTTATTTTTGTGGGTATGACTGTGTGTGTGTCACGTTGAGTTGTGACTCAAGATCTGGAGACACTCTGGAGTGGGGCAGTTGCTCCATTGGAGGAATCCATGATTTATCCCAAATTAGCTGGATGCCTGTGCTTTGCTACAAAACTATGTGGTCAGGCTTAGTTTTGGGGGAGGAAAATAAGGAAAAGAAAATTCTGCCTCTGCCTACCAGCATCCATCGGTATTCATCTGGCTAGCGTCCTGTCAGTGTGTGAGAGAGTGGAGGGCTGTTTGGAAACTGCTGGGTGAGCAAGGAGACAGCAAGGAGCCTGGGTGTGGCTTAGCTCAACTGTTCTGGACTAAAGCTGCTTGGTGCTGTGAAACTAAAACTGAAACTGAAACTCCTCTGCTTGTGTTTTGCCTTGGGAACAGATTTCTTTTCAGGTGGGGAGGGGGAATAGAACTCCTTAGCATCAGAGCGTGTTAATTGCTGTAGAAGAAATACTAATGAAATACTAATGATTCAAGGGTCCTTTTGAAAAATCCTTTCTTCGTGAGCCCCTAGAAGCCAAGAGGAACATCTGGGCCAAATTTCAAGTTTGTAGGCTTGATAGTTCTGGAGATTTTGTGATGATGTGTGAGTGGCATTTTGCTTTTATATGTATAGAAAGATTGTAGGGTTGTTGTCCTTTGTGATAAGTGTAGAACTGTGTCAGTTCTCTGTTTATCTGTTTTCTTTCCTATTGGGTTTAAAAATAAAACAAAAATTCACATCTTGCACAGGAGATCTTCCAGCTAGCGAATATGGCTAATTTGGAAAGCAAAGCAGGATGTGGTTGGCATGTGGAAAGGAGACCACCAGGAGATCTCACAGCTCCTGGCAGTAAATGGGGCTGATCTGGAAAGTGTAACAGGATGGTATTTGGAAAGGAGACCACCAGGAGATCTCACAAAATGTCTACTCTGGGAAGCACAGCAGGATGGTGTTGGTATTCTGGGAGTTGAATTCCTCAGCCTCCCT